GTGCAGCCCCGGGGGGGCCATGGTGGAATTTTCTAGAAGATTCCAAGCTCTGTGAAGGCAAACCAGGAACCCAGGGTGGGGGCTCCTGCCTGGAGGTCCAGAGCACCCCGTCTTGGGACCAGGCCTCCCTTGCCCCTGAGTGGACCAAGGCTGCCAGGCTGGGCCTGACCAGGAGACCTAGGGCCCTGTGAAGCTCAGGGTCCACAGCCAGGTGTTAGAGGGTGCCCAGGGGGTGACAGTGACCACAGCCCCAGACGTACACCCAGCACGAGCTTTGTGCCAGGCACAGGCATCTCGGTGCCCACCCTGGGCCAGCCTCTGGGGACACTGTAGGGAACAAGATGGGAACCGGCCCAGGAACCAGGTTCTCATGCAGAGGTGGCTCTACCTGGTGGCAAGGTGACCAGAGGGACTTTTTACAGCCAAAGAACCTTCTTCCTCACAAGGTTGGCCCTTCTCCTGCCCAGGTCCTGAGATGAGCTGGGGACAGAGTCAGATCCATTCCCAGCCCCTGGACCCTGTCCACAGAGGCGGATGGTCCAGCTGGACCAGCCAGAGCCACCATGGATGCAGGGACGAGGGTGATGTGAGGCCGGGGGATCTCAGAGCAGAGGCTGTCCGGGCCCCCTGGGGAACCGGAGGCTTACAGAGCAGGCGGCCTTGGAGTTGGGGCTTGAGGGAGGAACAGCAGAGAAGGTGGGTCCGAAGACGGTGCAGACTGATGACCAAGGACATCTGCGTGCTCACCTCCCCGCCCATCCCCACACCTCCTGTGGAAGGAGGCCCAGGCAGCCTGAGAGACAGGAGAGCCGGGGCAGGAGTCCACATGGACGGGTGGACAGAGGTCACACCACCGCCCCGTCCTGGAAACCCAGCTGGGTGGTGGGGACTCTGGGTGCTGCCAGGAGCCCCGAGACTGCAGGCAGCACAGGGAGGTCCCCAACCCGCGCGAAGCCCTGAATACGGAGGTTGGGCACAGATGACTCCCGGCCCCGGGCTGCCGACAGCTCTGTTGATGTTTCTGGGAAAAAAATGGAATCAGCTGCTGATATTTTTAGAATTTCATGCCCAAAATCTGGATTTGTGGCTTCTCTTGGAGAAATGGATATCTGGTCCCCCTGCAGGGCCTGTCCCCTCACCCCCTGCAAGCATCTGCCCCTATGGGTGGCAAGTGTGACCCACCCCAGGGATGGCCACCCTGGGCTTCTGTGTGTTGTGACAGGGTCCCCGTTCCAGGACATGGAGGGAGCGGGTCCCCTGTGGCAGCGAGTCTGCCTCAGGGTGTCTGCATAAGGGATGTGCCCAGCCCGCTTGTCCACCCACGGTGCCTCTGTGGCCCCGGGGGGCGTTTGGGTTTACGGTCCCTCACCCGCGTTCTGTGTGGTGCCACAGATGTCCCCGACTGTCCAGGCCTGCCGTGCCAGTGCGTGTGCCCCGTGTCAGCAGGTTCCACGGCTGTGGAGGGGCATCGGTGGTCAGCCTGAGGATGGGACCTGCTTCTCTTTATAACTGCTCTAGAGTCTAAGGTAGGGATGAGTGGGGACCCTCAGGGAGCAGGTGACGTCATGTTGTGGACCTCTCATGGTCCCCAGCTCCTCTCAGCCTTCAGAATCACTGATGAGTCCCGAGGTCCCAGCGTGGCCTGGCTGGCACTGGTGGCTTGTGGAGAAGCCTCGTCCTGTTAAGACCAGGCCACCAGAGACCGAAGCCCAGCTTCCTTTCTGATGTGTTAATCTGTCCACCAGCCTGTCCTTGGTCCCCGTCTGTGACTGAAATTCACTGCTCTGTCCAGGGACCTGTTCTGTTAGGACCCACGGTTGGTACACGGAGCTCGGGTCTGTGGGCCGCCAGGCAGAGCCCGGGCTTTACCTCTCGGAACCTTGTTTTCTCCTGTGTAACATGGAGATGACGGTTCCTAAGGTCACAGCCGGAAACTGAGTGGTGTAAAGCAGCAGTAGATCCATTCGGTGGAGTACCTCAGGGCACAGAGGGGACAGCTCATCAGAGCCCGTGGCTCTACTGCCTGTCCATGTGGCTGCTTGGGCTTCCTCACTGCATGGCCGTCAGGCCACCATAGGCAGGAAGTGGAGTCTGTCAGGTCCCGTGAGGCCCGGATATGGAAACTGACACAGGGTCCCTTCCGTCACACTTTACTGGTGAAAGTAACCACGGAGCCCACCAAGAACCAAGAAGGAAGGGTGAGGACCCCCTTCATGGAGGAATGCGGCATCCCAGTCTGCTGTGACCTACACTGGAATAGCTGAAGCAGAGGTGTGCGCTTTGTTCATGTCTCTAGAATGGCTGAGATTTTAAAACCACCAAGACAGCAAGTGCTCGCAAGGATGAAGCACAGCTGAAGCTCACCCGCTACCCATGGACGTGCAAAACAGTAGGGCTGCTCATCTACACCCTGCTCTTCCTAACCTGAGGCCATTATAAAACACAAATGAAAACCAGTGTCCACACAAAGGCTCAGCCCTGTCCCAAAGACCACAGACTGGGAGAAGCAGCCCCAATGACCATCAGCAAAGTGGTGGGGAATCGATGGTTTATGGAAATACTACTCGGCAATGAAAAAGGTGGGGGCTCCTGTACCCAGCCACGTGGATGAGTCTCGCAGGCACGCTGTTGAGAGGGGGAAGCCAGACAGGAGGCACTCTGGGCCACTCATTCCTGGGAAGTCCAGAAAGGCATGCCGGTCGACAGTGTCAGCACTGGAGGGAGTTCGGCTTTGGATGGGAGGTTGTGTGGGGAGAGGCAGGGAGGACTTCCTGGGTGACGGGTGTGTTCTGCCTCCTGCTCTGGTTGTGGTCGCACAGAGGTAAGCACATGTTCAGATCCAGGCCCACCGAAGACCTGGCCCTTCATGTCGTCCACACTCAATTAACCATTTCTGAGTCCAGTGTCGGCCACACACCCATAAACGGCAGCTGCAGAGAGGCCCGGGCAGTGAGGTTCTCCAGTGACGGGATCTGAAGGGCCTTCCAGCTCCGGCCCTGGGGGCCGCCCCAGGCCCACCCCCGGGAGCCGACTGCCCGCTCACAGGCAGGAAAGTCCCTGCTGGCCGAGGCCCAGCAGTTGCATTAGGAATGTGCCTGGGTCACGTGCCGTGGCTCTCCTTCCTGGGGGCAGGAAAGGTCCTGCTCTGTGGTGACGTCAGCACCTGCTGATGGACGTGGGCTCCGGGAGCGGGGGACAGGCTGGGGGAGGGTCTGCCAGGCCTGGGCTAACAGACCTGCTGAGTGTGTGTCCTGCAGAGCCCCCCCGAGCGCCGATCTTCTGTCGCCTCCGCTGTCCTCCGAGTGCGGCCTGCAGACTCAGATGCCACCACGTGCTGCGGGTCGGGTGTGACCGAAGAAATGTGCCACTTACCTCTGACTGTCCTCCAAGAGGAAAGTGCCCTGTGGCCACGGACTCCACGTTAGGAACGCCCTGGGGAGTGGCGGGCTCTGTGGTTAACCCAGGGGACCCCTGTCAGCTCCAGTGGATTGTCACTGTGTGGGACACTGGCGGGCTCCGTGTGACCAGCTCTTTTGACAAGAAGCTGGGAATCAGGGCTTCCCAGGGAAGCAGCCTGGCTCTGAGATCTTGGCCTCGCTTGGCTGGGCTGTGGGTCTCGGCTTTGGGTGTGACGGGGCAGGGCCCGCAGGAGCCGCCTGCAGAGCCGTGGGGCACGTGGCCTGGGACCACCCTGACTGGGGTCCCAGCCCCCCACGGCCTCGCTCCTTTGTTCTCTGGGCCTGTTTTGTCACCTGCAGCATCAGGCTGGGGTGGACCAGGGCCTGCTTCAGAGGATCTGTCCCCAGCACATGGACAGCAGAAGTGCCTGGGGGTTCGTGCCCTCTCGGTTGGCCTGCACTGAATGCCCCTGACGTGGGCTCTCCTGTCGCCAGCCCACGCGGGAACCCTACAGGTTCGGGGCTCTCCCAGCCGCTGGGACCTGGCCCTAAGTTACTGCGGCAGCCCTGCCCTCGCGCCTGCAGCTTCGGCCCAGGAGACAGGGCTCCTGAGGGCCTCTTGCCCACGGCCCCTCTGTCCTTCAGGTTTGGAGAAGGGGGGGCGGGTTCCTGGATCCTCTCCACTGTCCCCCCAGACCAGCCCCCACTCTCCCCACCCCATCTGCCGCTTTAGAATCGACAGAAACCCTGGCGGTTGTGGCCAGACCTTGCCACGGAGTGGGTCGTCTGCCCTCGGCTGCGCCAGGGGTGGGGTGGTCGCTGGCCCTGCGGAGGGCAGCAGCTCCTGGCGAATGGCCTTGGGAGGAAAGGGAGGGTCTGAGGGCTTTTCCCTGTCCCAGGTGACAGCACGGGAGGGTGGGGACTGTGCCGGAGCCCAGGCTGATCTGGAGCCTGGCTGGTGGCACGGAAGCCATCCGTGGCCGAAGATGAGCCCTGAGCCTTGGCTCTGCAGAGCGCCCTTGCCTTCTGTCCCTTACAGACCCTCCGGAGCTCTCGCGGACTGTCCCCCACCCTCTGCGTGTCTGGCCAGTGAGCGGGCAGCGGCGGGTGCTGCCTCTGCCTGGCTCCCACGACCCCTCCTCCTGCCCCAGGCCAGGCTCAGGTGCCCCCGGGCACAGTGGCGTGTCCCTTGGGTCCCTCCGGCTGGGGCAGTGTTGGTCTCTCTCTTGCTCCTCCCGGTCCCACAGTGTGGTGACGGAGCGGTCGGGTGTCCGGTAGATGGTCCCCGATTTGGGTTTCCCGTGGTGGGACCGGGGTTTGGTTCACAGCACCACGGGAGGGGCCTTCTCCTCACTCTGCCGGGGGCTCACGGGGCCCACGTGGCATCGTGCTGGTGTGGCCTCGGCTGCCCTCCTGGAAACCCCCTGCTCCCCCACGTTTCCGTGTCCTGTCCCTGGGTGTCTCTCCCTCGTGCCTGCCCGGGTCCCTCGGTGTCCTTGGGGACTGGTTCCAGGAGTGTCTCTGGACACTAAAATCCCAGGAGGCTCACATCCCTGATGTGAAGTGGCTCAGCACTTGCACGTGGCCTGTCCCCACTCTCCGGGGACTTTATTTTTTTAATGCAGAGCTGGGGTTGGGACCCGGGCCTGTACCTCCGAGCCCCACGCAGCCCTCCTGTCACTTCAGATGGTCCCTGGGTGACTCTGATGCCTAATGCCCGTGCCACGGCGGTGCCCGTGCCCTCCTGTCTAGAGAGCGAGGAGGACATGGTTCGCGCTGGGCACAGACAGGTTTTTTCTTAGTATTTTGACGGGTGGTTGATGGACACCAGACGTGTGGCCCACGGGTGTGGAGGGCACCTGCATTATCGGCTTCGGGTTAGGATCCAGTGACACATTATCATTTGTCACTAGAGTGTTCCCGCCTGGCTATTGCTCTCCAGGCTGGCCCCTGTGCCCTTTGACATGTCCCGTGTTCCCTGACTGTGGTACGGAGGTGTCCCAGGCTCATCTTACATGTTCCTGTCCAGCCCTGGGCCCACCCGTGTCTCTGCTTAATGCTGAAGTTGGAAACTTGATACCAGAACCCTTGGGCCGGGGGCGGGGGGGTGCCTCGGAGGGCAGCGTTCACTCACCATTGGTCCCGTGTTCCCCAGGGGTCCGCGGGAGAAGCCCTGGTTCACATCCTCATCTTACAGATGAGAAAACCGAGGCTGGGGCAGGCAGGGACTGGCCTGGGGTCCTGGAGAAGGGCTGCCACACGCACCCTCAGGACTGGTCTTTGTCTTGGTGGAGTCGGCATGAGAAAGAGGCGTCCCCGAGAGTGCTGGGCTCGGAGCCAAGTGCCCAGGAGACGGTGGCACCATGACCAGAGCTGAATTCAAACACCGTCCTGAGCCCGGGTCCAGCTCCTACTGTGTGCACTGGTGCTCCTCAGACCGTGGGCCCCAGAACCTGACTCCGGTGTCCGAGGAGCCTTGGCTGAAGGGACTCCGCCCGCAGAGCAGGCGACGGGGCATGGGGACAGCGTGTGACAGTCCTCCCCCAGTGGGTCCCCAGTGTCGGAGAGCCATGGGGACGCGACCACAGGAAGGCACACTCTCTTGCGCACATGCAGAAGGTGGCTTGGCCTTGGCTCTGAAACAAAACGGAGGCTTCAGTGCCCCTCCGGCCATGACGGGAGGATGTGGCTGCTCAGAGTTCCCGGTTCCCTCTCGGGTCCTTGCAGGCTGAAGAAAGTGAAGGTTAAATGAGGTGGTTCAAGAAAGAACAGCCCAGCACCCACGTCGCGGGTGCCTGGCCGGCGAGCTTCCTGGCTTGTGTGACGTCATTAATGGAGGTTAGTGACAGTCATCAACCCACTAGTTGGTCGATTCCAGCGCAATGGAAACTGGACCCACCTCGACTCTGGCTTGGAGCGGAGATTCCGAATCTTGCGAGTGCGCGGGGTCCGCGGTTTGCGCATGAAGATGTCCAGCCTGGGCTCTCGCACGCGGGCTTGGTTTTCAGGTCAGTGAATAATCCCTGGGTGAGTGGGGGTCCCCTCTGGAACTCCACGTGGTCCTCGATGGATGCTACGTGGCCTCGTGGCCGTCAGTGGGGCCTGTGTGGACCCCTGGGCCCCGCGGCCGTAGGAGGGTGCAGTGACGCGGCCTCACGCCTTCTTTTTCAGATCGGGAGCGACACTTCACAGACGGTGGAGGAAAACGTCCCAGTCCTTAAGGCCAAGGTGACAGAAATGCGTGGCATCTGTGCCAAAGTGGACGGCTGGAGGTATGTCCAGGATAAGGGGGTTCCCTGTGACTGCAGGCCGGTCTGACCTTGAGGGTGTCGGCACTGGGCCGGCGGGGAATGACAAGAGTTTGTTTCCACTATTTAAAAATTGAGCTATTTTATATAAAAATCTGAATTTGAAGCTTCTTCTGGAAGCCAGAAGCGCTGACAAGCTGAGGTCCACATTCCTTAAGTCCTTTAATCTCCTTATGTTTCAAAGCACGAACACACGGGATGGGCACAGCCTAAGGACAGCTCGGTGGATTTCCATGTGTCAACCCCACATGAAGGTGACCCAGATGAGACCGAGCATCTGCAGACCCTAGCCCCCCCCTCCCTCCCTTTCTCCCCCTCTTTCTCCTGGGTATTGAACGTGGGGCACCGAGCTCCATCCCCCATCATTCTTGTTTGTTTTTTGGTTTTGTAACAGAATCCCCCTAAGTCGCTGAGGGTCTCACCCACTTGCTGAGGCCGGCCTCAAACTCGTGATCCCCCTGCCTCCGCCTCCCGAGTCGGTGCAGTCTCAGGCTGCATTCTCCCATAGGTGCTCCCTTTGCCACAGTCCCCACCGCGCCCCGTTGCCCCCCACTGACTCCTCTCCCCGTCTGGTGCTTGGCTCCGTGTCCCTCCGCGTCCCGCTCAGAGGCTCAGCGTCTCATTCCCCCCGCTGCTGGGCAAGGCTGGTTCCCTCCCTGTCCCTGTCCCTCATCGCCCTGGGCAGTGAGCCCGTGCCCTGGAGCCCCCACTGGTCATGTGGGGCCGGAGCCTAACCTCTCGTCCGTCCACCTGTGGTCCTCGGCCTGGGCCCTGGCCCCTTGCTCAGCAAAAGACCAGGAGACAGGGCTCTCGGTGGCTCAGTGGTCACCTGGCTGGAGGGCCGGGCCCGCAGAGCAGCAGAGGGAGCCAGCAAGGCGGTCAGTACTGACTTAGCAGAGAATTAACATTCTCGTGGGCAGAGAAGGAGCAGGGCTAATTAAAGCCCTGCCCTTGGAATAGCTGATTCATTCAGATTTTACTCCACGCGTTTGAAAGAGGAAAAGGAGCTGGGGGGTCTGTGCCGAGGGCCTCACCAGGGCCCGGCTGGCGGCCACTCCCTCCTGGACGGGCAGGCTATGAGTGCCCCCAGGGGGCTGTCACAGCACAGCCAGGGGCACAGACCCGTCCCGCAGAGGAAGGCGCGGGACCAGCATGTCCCTGATGGCTCCCTTGCTGCGGTGGCCAGTGACGAGGCCAGAAGCCCGCAGGGCCCCAGGCTGGGCAGGTGCAGGTGTGTTCTCTCTGGGGCTCGGGGGAGTCTTTCCTCCTCCACCTCCAGCCTCGCGCACTCTGCCCCCACTCCCTCGGGGGAGGACCCTCCTGGGGATGTGGGCCCCTGGTGGCGCAGGGTGATGGTCCAGGCCGGGAGCCTTGGCCGAGCCACCTGCCCGGTCTGTTTTGCCAGTGGCGTGGCCTGTCCCGGGGTCTGGGACAGAGTGTCTGGGGCCACCGCACACGGCCGACCGCTCGCCCGGCCAGGCTGCCGCTGTGCAGGGAGGGGAGGCCGGGAGGGTCCGCAGGCCCCTGGAGGGGACCTGGGCAGCTGCGGGCAGGAGGGCAGGGCCGGCACAGCTCAGGCAGAGGCCCGGCGGGAAGGAGGCTGAGGCCCTGAAAGAGTCCCGGGGCAGAGGGCCGTATGAGGAGCGGGGCTGGGGACATGGGCGCAGCAGCCAGGCCCAGGGCAGGGCGTCCAGGGGCCGGGCCTTGACACACCGGGGCCGGCGAGCTCTGCCTTGGGCAGTCCCGCATACGGCTCCGCCCATGAGAGGCCACTGGGACCCCTCCCTCCCACCCTCCAGTTGTGAAACACAAAAATGTCTCCAGATGTCTCCAGAGGTCCCCTGGGGGGTGACTCCTGGCTTTCTGGTCCCAGTGTGTGAGCCCCCATTTCCCTGCAGAAGGAGAATTGCTGCGCGGATGGCGTCAGGCCCAAATGCTCCTGTGTTCAACGAGCGTCTGTTGAACCATGGACCCTCCCTGACACGGTGCTGGGACATCTGAGGTGGGACCCTTGGTCCCCTGCTGTCCGCTGGAGGACCACCAGACGGGGACCAGGATGGGTCTGACAAGGAGCTGTGGGAGCAGCCCAGGGGGCTGAGCAGAGCCAGAGCGCAGGACTTCCCTAGGATGGCCTTTCTGCTAAGGTCTGCAGCACGCCCTGGAGAATCCAGGCAGGGAACAGCACGTGCAAAGGCCCGGGGGCAGGAAAGAGCAAGGCCCTCGGCTGTAGAGCTCCAGGTTAGGGATGGGCAAAGGACCATCAAAGGGGCCCCTGTCCCTTTTCCCCTGAGAAAGTGCAAATTGATCACAGTAGCACCCTTTATCTGTGTCTCACTTTCCATGGCTTCAGTTACCTGTGGTCAACCTCAGTCCAAAAATATCATGTAGAACGTTCTAGAAGCAAACACTTCATAAGTTTTACCTCTTGTGCCAGCCTGAGCAGGGTGATAAAATCTCACGCTGTCTACCCAGGCCACGCATCACCCCCTCGTCCAGGGCACCCTGCTGTACAGGATCCCCACCTCTGGTGACGTGGCAGCCCTGCTGGCCTGTCGCAGGCTTGTGCTCCAGGACAGGGTGACACAGTCATTTTACTGCCAGACGTTGTTAGGATTGCTCCGTTTGCCTGAGCGGTTGGCGGTCTCCTGCTGGGCCAAGGTGTCAAGTTTGTTGTGAAGCGAGGACAGGAGAAAACAGAGCGCCCCCCGCGGGTCCCCAGGAGGGCAGCCCCTGTGGGGGGTCCTGTGTCCAGGGCCTGTCGCCAGGCTGGGCAGCCACCTGCTGTCTCACTGCAGGCCACCTTCTCGGGAAACCCCTCAGCAGCCCTGGGCCCGCAGGTCCAGCGTCCCTCTGTGGCCTGCCCTGGACTCCTCTCCACGGGGGCCGAGCCGCAGTGGCCTTCAGCGTCTGCTTCCCCTCAGTCACCCGACGCCCGCCTCACGGTGGGGTCCCGACTTCCTTCTGTGTCCTGGCTGAGCCGTACCCCAGCCTGTAGGCGAGCCCGTGGCCACTGTCCATCATCAGTTGATGGACGTTGGGTGGCTTGGACTTGGCTGTGAGGAGCGATGCTGCTGGACCTCTGTGGGTGGGCGTTTGTGGGGGTCTTGTTTGGTGTGGGGTCAGGGCTGGGTGGGGGAGCTGTGGCCACGGGGACTCCTAGCCCCTCCAGCTGTGTCCCGAAGCGGCTGCCCTGTTACTCCAGTGGCCGGTCCCAAAAGTCTTGGTGGAGGTTGTGAAGGGGCCTGTGAACGGAGCCGGCGCTGCTGCGGGGCCGGTGCTGGAAGGCCACCCCATTCCCTGCTGGGAACAGCTGGAGTAGAGCGGTAACTGTCCCCTTCCGTGGAGTAGGACTCTCTGGGCTGCCCGAGAGTCTCCCCAACATTGAGCCTGAGGGGCGCTTCCCTGTATCAGCGCCCCGGGGGCACAGCGTTGCTCAGAGAGTTCTCTGTGACCGGGTCCCCAAGGCTCCAAGAGGGCACGACTCCTGTAGCAGAGGAGAGTTCGCGTTTCTGCCAGCAACATGAACCGTGGGACAACCAAAGAGGAGCTGGGAGAACCCCGCGGTCCCCGGGGCGGTGCAGAGCAAGGCAGCCGGGCCCGGGGCTGGCCATCCAGGGACCGCAGCCTCCCAGAGCCCGCGTCCTCGCCGGCCAGCTGGGGACATGCCGTCGCCCCTCACATGGTCCAGGGTGCGGTGAGCCGGCAGCCCTGCCTGGCACCACACGGGCGTCAGAAGGACAGGCAGTGACGAGGTGGCAGCCGTTGTCACTGAGAGAAGCAGCCTCGTCTGGAGTGACGGCCACGCTCTGCCTGCCACTGGGGGCCCTGGGTGACTGGCGAGTCAGTGCATTCACCCTGAGACCACCTGCTCTCAGAATCCGCGGGACCCACCCGGCGGGACTCTCCGGCGGCACTTGGTCCCCTGTCAGTCGCGCAGGGCGCCTGCTGTGGGCTCTGCGGGCATGACACTGGCCTCCACCGCCGCGGCCCGGGGCCGGCCCCGCTCCACAGAAGAAAGGCGGAGGCCCGCGAGCAGGGACTGGCCCAAGGCCCCGAGGAGGGACCTGCCCGTGGGGGCTGTGAGGACTGTCCCGGAGCGCGGAGTGGCCCTGCCTGGACGGCCCACACCCTGCGGCTGGGCCGCAGGCTCCGCTCCTCAGTAAACCCGTGCCCAAGCCTGGCCACCCGCCTCCTGCCGCCTCCCAGCGGCCTTTTCCCCCAGAGAAGGGCAGGGGGACCCCCAGGCCCCAGCTGTCCACCTGTTCCCTCTGTCCCCTCTGCCACTGCACCCTGGCCTGGGGACAGACGAGCTGGCTTCATCCCAAGTCAGGCCTCAGGCCTGGCCAGCGCCAGCCTCCTGTGGCAGCTTGGCCCTGCTGCCCTGGCAGGCGGCGGCGGAGCCACAGCTGGAACCAGGGCTGGAGCCACGGCCAGAGCCTCGGGGGGCCTGCGCTCCCCCCACCTTGGCTCATGGGAGGGTGAAGTCGGAGTTGGCTGGAGGAAGGGGACCCACTCCCTGGTCACCTCCAGATGTGCTGGCCAGGGACTGCTGCGGCCAGTCAGAGCAGCTCCCCCGCCCTGGGGCCTCACACACACGAACCACAAGCTCACACATGCTCACACTCACACACTCATGCATACATACATGTACACATACTACACACACACTGCACACGCTCACAATGCCCCCCACATGCACACACACACATACACTCTCAAACACACCCACAGGCACACACTTGCACTCACACACATACACATGCTCACAGTGCCCCCCACTCACACTCTGGCCATCCAGAGACCTCACACTCCCTCACACGCTCCCATGTACACGTACATGTGCCCCACATGTACGCTCACATTCACACGCACACTCATGTGTACACACTCATGCACACATACACTCACGCATGCCCACACATACACAGCACTCACATGCTCACACATAGCACATACACAAACTCACACTCACACATGTGCACACACATCCTCACACATACACAAATACACTCACACACATGCTCAGGTGCACACGCTCCCTCATGCCTACATACACATGCTTGCATGCACACACAACACACACACAGGCTCACGCGCACACATGCACACCCTGCACGCGCATGCCAGGTGGCGCCTCAGCCCAGCCGCAGCCAGAATCAGGCAGCAGCACCCAGCGGACGCCTCGTGTTGCTGAGAAGGTGCTCCCTCCCCGCTCCCTGCTCCCCCGTTCTCCCGCTCCCCGCTCCCCTGCTTTCGCATGCACCCAGGCCCTCTGGGGGCCCCTCTGTCCACCAGGCCCCAGTGCTGGCCCCGCACCTCCCCTCGCAGTGCCACATGCTGGAGACGGGTGACTGCACAGCGGCTCAGGGGCACTGTGGGGTCAGGTGGTCAGGGAGGACCTCTGAGGGCACAGGTTAATTCAAGCCTGAGAGACAGGCAGGGCCACCCAAGCAGGGGGTGCCGGGCACTGGCCCCGTGGGAACAGAGTGACCTGGCCACTGTGGAGGAACCCGGGGACGGAGGATGGATGTGGGATGGGGCAGCGGGGAGGGCTGGGTGGAGGTGGCAGTGCAGGACACCCGGTGCCAGACCTGGTGCAAGGGCTGTTTCCACTTCACCACGGGAACGAGCGGGGGAGCCCAGGGAGGCGGTGCTTGTCTGAGGTGGCACTGCGCTGGCCACCTGAGTGAACACACACGTGCTGATGGAGAAAGGTGCGAAATGGCACCAGAGGTCACAGAGGACCGTGCCGGGCTCTCCGGGGTCTACACAGCATTTTTTAAAGTGCGGGTTTATTGCTGGCATGAATAAAAGCACAGCCTTTGCATAAAGTTGGAATGTCTTTTTTAAAAAATAATGACATCTAACATAATGAGCTCCCCCTCCCCCTCCTTCTCTCTTCCGTCAGTGCTGGAGATGGCCCAGGGCCTTGCACGTGCCTGGCAAGTGCTCTACCTCTGAGCCACACCCCAGTGAGCCTGTAATGTGTGCATTTAGCTTCTTTAATAAGGAGCTGTTGTCCGTTTTACAGATGAGAAAGTTGAGGCTAATAGGAATCAAGCAACTTGGGGAAAGGCGCCTGGCGGGGGAGAGGGGGACTTGGAGTCTGACCAGAGTCTGACTCCGACAGCTTTTTCAGTTGGAACCTCTGCACTTGAGGCCTTGGGCTGGTTGGTCCCCGTGGGTCTGGACCCAGCATTCCTCGGTCCCCACCTGGTCCTCTGCACCTGCCTGGCCCCTGGAGCCTTCCGAATCCCAGTGTTCATCAACTCTCAGAGTGAGCTTGGGGCTAAGACGTGTGTATGTTTTGCCCTGGGGATTGAAGCCAGGGCGCTCAACACTGAGCCGCGAGCCCCGACCTTTTGACTTTGAGCAGGGTCTCGCTAGGTTGCCGAGGGTCTTGCCGAGTGCTGAGCCTGGCCTTGAGAACTTGAGATCCTCCTGCCTCCGTCATCCGGGTGGCTGGGATCACCGGTGTGCGCCTCCAGGCCTGGCTGAGAAATTCCGTTCTTAATGATGATTTTTTGAAAAGGCTTTGAAACATGACAGACATGCTTTGAGTGCCTTCTCTACTGCTTCCCGGCAACGTGACTTTGGGCAGGTGACCCAGACTCCCTGTGCCTCAGTTGTCCTCCTCCGTAAAATGGAGGCTAAAAAGAGGGTCCCTGGGGGAGAAAGCCACAGGACACCAGCAGGACTGGGCAGATGCTGGCAGAAGCTGCCACCGTTACTGTTGGGGCACCTGCAAGCGTCTCCCCACCGAGCAGCCTTGCCAGGCCCTGCAGGGAGCCCTGGGCCTGGGGGAGGGAGGCTGGGGCCAGTGGTCAAGGGCCCGGTGGCCCTGGCAGCTGCGGGAGCTCGGCCAGGAATGTGCCCCAGGCCGCTGCAGACGTGGCTTCGTGGACTCCTGTCTCTCTGCCAGGCCTTGGTCAGGAGGGTTGGGCACCACCTGCCCTCCTGGAAGCCCACGTGCGTCAGGCCGAGCCGGACCACGGGGCCTTCCCGCAGGCCCTGCGGAGGTGACTGGGCTCCGCCGGGTTCCCCTCCTTCAGGAATGTGAGTATCTGCCCCCCAAAGTGAGGAGGGCTTCTCCCTGCTTCCTCCCAGACCCCGGAGCAGGGAGAAGGCTCAGGAAGTGGAGTTCAAAGGGCAGTTTCCCTTCAGCAGACAGGAAGTGGTCTGCCTGGCCCCAGGGCTGTGGGCGCTCACCTGGCCTCCCTCAGGCACGGGCCTCTCTGTGCCCTGCAGCTCAGCTGCATTTCTGGGCCTGCTCACGCCATGCACCCAAAGTTTATTAAGCGCCTACTGTTTGCCAAATTCTGTGCCCCACCTGGGATTACCACGGGAAGCAGAAGCAGCACCCCTCACTCTGTCCTTATAAACTAAGGACGATGACAAGGGCCACGTCCAGGACGAGGCCAGGATGGGCCTTGTGAGACTGCCTGAGTCAGCCTGAAGCAGGCGGAGGGGCCCGGAAGGTGGCCGTGTGCAGAGGTGTCCACATCCTGATCTGTCCTGGAGTCTCCCTACGACCCTGAGGATGGAGGGGTTGTTGTGTCCCTTTTTCTGACACAAAAATGGAGGCCAGACGGACCCTACAATGAAGACTCCACCACCACACATACCACTACTGACCCTCAGGCCCAGGGGACACTTGTCCACCTCTGGAGACAGTTGGTGAGCACATTACGGCCGGGGTGCTTCAGCCATGTGCCGTGGAGTCCCCGGGTGCTGATCAACGCCCCTCAATGCGCAGCAGACTCCCGCCCCGCTGTCAGGGTGCCGAGCGCCCTGGGGTGATGTCCGTGTATCCTGTGCCACTTCCTGGGGCACTGGCTTCTCTCAGTGGCCTTTGAGAAAGGCCCCTTGGTTGTCACACCTGTCCTAAGCTGGGGAGACCCACCAAGGCCCAGGGACGGAGGGCTCACCTCAGGACACTAGCTGTAGTGGCTGGGGCCTGGTTGACCTTTCCAGCCTTGCCCCTGGGGACAGGCACCTGCCCCACCGGCTGCCCTGTCCAGCCGTACAGCGGTTCTCACAGTCCTTGGGCTCTGCCTGGACCCCTCTGTGCCTGTTGCCCTCTGTCTACAGCGCGCCAGGTCCTGCGGGCACCCAGGTGCACTTCGCGCCCCTGCCCAGCTGTGAGTGTCACCCAGCTCAGAGGGGAGCAAGCCCCTCAGCAGCCCTGGCACAGAATCGGGCCTTTGTAGGCCCCGGGGGCAGGCAGCAGTTGACAGGCCTGAGCTGTCCCCGGGAGCCACCCTCCAGGTCCAGGCCCCGGCTCCCAGCCCAGCTCCCTGTCGTCCTGCACCTGCCGGGGACATGCGCCCCTCACCTGGCTGCCTCCAGAGCTCGGAGGGGGCTGCACAGTGGCCTCATGGATCGCAAGGTCCAGGGTCCCCTCTGGACCCCTCTGGGACCGAGTTCACACCACTTCCTGCCTCTCTCCGAGCTCCCGCTTTCTACCTTCCGATGACAAATGAAGTCATGGGCTGCTTTTGTCCTGCCTTCCTTGGGTCACAGCGCACGTTCCTAGGTGACCAGGAGCCCAGCCTGCCCACTGACTGCTTTAGAGGCACACCAGGGGAGAGGGGACGGTGGCCTCGGCATGGCCTCCTGCAGCCCTCCTGACAGCAGGTGCCGAGTGGGGGCTCTGGGCTCTGCCCTTCCCCTCCCCTCTAGTCCGTGGTCTGCAAGGTTTCCACGGACGGGCCGAGGCTGCAGGGGGAGGTCAGTGCTGGGCTGGGCAGCCAGGCCTTAGGGTGCCCCAGCTGCTGCTGCTGCAGGGTCCGAGGTGTCTGGGCGGGCCGGGACCTGTTCCCTCTCACCTCCACCAGACTGCAGCGCTCGGCGGGGCCCGGGCACCTGTGGTGACTTGTTCCAGGAAGCAGTCCCCAGAGGTGAGTCATTCAGCAACTGGGGCTGAACTTGGCCCCAGCAGGCTCCTCTGGGGGAGGGGGAGGGGGAGGGAAGTGTGTGGCCAAGGGTTTCCCGGGAGCAGCTGCAGGGCCCCCACCCCCCCCTTTAAGTAAGTCTGCGCATGGCTGCTGCCTCAAAGGTGGGGGAACGAGCCTGAGGGGTCTCGTGGCCCAGGCAGGAGCCAGGTGCAGGGACCCAGGGCCAGGCAGTGCTGAACTTGCCACCAGAGGAGCAGGACCTCCGGATGGCTCTTCTGTCTGTCCGTCTGTCCTTATTCCCAAAGCCAGGATTCCGCGTCTGGGGTCTGTCCCGTCTGGGGTCTGTCCCGTCTGGGGTCTGTCTGCAGTGCCTTCCCGGGTGGCCTGCTAAGGCTGAGGCCTCAGGCGGGATCCACACCCAGGCAGCCCGAGGGGCCCAGGCAGGGTTGGGTCCCCTGGGTCATTTCCCTGGGGCTCAGCTGTCCCCCAGGGCTTAGCTCCTGCCCCCCACCTCCCCACCCTGGAGGCGGGTCTTGCCCTGTGCCCCTCCCTGCGCTCCCCGTCCCCACGGCCCTCCCCCAGCAGGTGTGGGGACCCTCCTGCAGCCAGAGGGAGAGGCCTCAGCCTTCACCCTGGAGCCCGCGGGCCTCTTGGGGTGTCCTGCCTTTCCTGCTCTTTCATCAGCTGGAAGGGGAGTTGGGGGTCGGGGACCAGGGACAGGGACAGGGAAAACTGGTTTCCAGCCCTTCCTTCCCTCCCCTCCCTCCCTCTGCAGCTGCAGGGGGAGGCCCGGGTCCCGGCGCCCCAGGCACAGAGTGCAGAAGCAGTCCCCCGCCATCCCAGCACAGGGGGCCCCGCCACCACCATGTGATCTGGGGCTGGGACAGGCCTGGGCAGCCCGAGGGGTGTGGTGGCCAAGGTTCCTTCAGGAGGTCCCCTGCTGAAGCCCGCGCTTCCCTCTGCCTTGGAGCCTGAGGGAGACACGCTGGGTCCAGTGGCCTGGCTCGTGGCACTGAGGCCCAGGAAGGGGTCCGTCCCCACTGCACAATGGACATGCTTTCCTGGTCAGCAGCCCGAGTCCTCCTGCTGCCCCACGTCAAGGTCCAGTTTTCAATGATGCGTCCACATGGCCCCTCAGTGTGCGAGCCTCCAGCCAGACCGGCCTCCCTGTCCACCCGGCCTCCATCCACGAGGCCTGTGAGATCTCCGGTCTCCGCCAGTGTTGTCTCCTGGGCCCGAGGGCTTAGCTGTCAGCCTGTCGCCTTGGAGGACAGCGTGTCTGGGGGGAGAATGTAGACGCCGACCAAATCCTAAGAACATCCGGTGGCCAGCTGCTCCCGCGGGGCCCTGGCCTGCTGGTTGAGAGGTCAGAGAGCCCTGGGGAGGGGCCATGGAGGCCAGGAGCTGGATGAGGAGGACACGCTGTCTGGGGCCAGGACGGGTGCTCCTGGCAGAGGGACTGCAGGCGCAGGGGCTCTGGGGCCGCGGGGCTTGGCGCTTGTGCAACAGCAGGAAGTCCGCGCAGGCTGGCCGAGGGGCAGCGGGTCAGGGAGGTGGCAGGCGCCAGATCCTACAGGTCTAAGGCCACAGAGAGGAGTTTAGCACTGTCCGGAGGGGCCTGGGGAGGGTGTGTAGCAGGGTGACTTGGCCGGCTCTGCTTGCTGAGCCAAGGTGGCAGCGGACGTCACTGTCCTGTGGGCAGTGGGATGTGGGAGCTGAGTGGCGCCGGCCGAGCCGTGGGGTGTGTCCCGGGGAGTTTCCTCAGCCTGAAGGGTCCCTGCTGGGCCTTGAGCTCCGCGAGAGCCTCACCCCAGGGGTCTGGGACCCTCTTCTCACCAGAAAAGAGCCCTGGGGGGCTCCAGTTGAGCACCAGTGTCCCAGGCTCTGTCCCGAGGGAAGCTGCGGCCTGGCCCCGCACACCAAGCCTCCATCTG